ACCCCCTCCCTTCCAAAACCTCTGACCCAAAAACCCTGACCCCACCCGGACCCACCGACCCCACCTCAGGTGAGGGCGGGCAGCTGCCCGGCAAGAAGGTGTCGCCCTACATCGCGGACCTGCGGCGTAGCAAGCCGGGCGTGCCCCTCATCTCCCCGCCCCCCCACCATGACATCTACTCCATCGAGGACCTGGCCCAGCTCATCTACGACCTGCACCAGGTGAACCCGGCGGCGCGCGTGTCGGTCAAGCTGGTGGCCCAGGCGGGGATCGGCACCGTGGCCTCGGGCGTGGCCAAGGCCGGGTCGGACGTGATCCAGGTGTCGGGGCACGACGGAGGGACGGGGGCCTCCCCCATCTCCTCCATCAAGCACGCTGGGGGCCCCATGGAGATGGGCCTGGCCGAGGTGCACCAGACCCTGACCGCCAACGGCCTGCGCGACCGCGTGGTCCTGCGCGCCGACGGCGGCATGCGCACCGGGCGCGACGTGCTCGTGGCCGCCGCCCTCGGAGGCGACGAGTTCGGCTTCGGCACCGTGGCCATGATCGCCACGGGCTGCATCATGGCCCGCGTCTGCCACACCAACAACTGCCCCGTGGGCGTGGCCAGCCAGCGTGAGGAGCTGCGCAAGCGATTCCCAGGTGAAAAGGGGGTGTTTGGGGGAGGGGGAAGGGGTCCTGCATGGGTGTGGGTGTGCATCCCGTCCAGCGGGGCTGGTGCGGGTGGGCGACGCACGGCTCCGGCCTCTCGGATGGGTCCCGTATCTGAACACCCTCTCGAGCCTGTGTTCTGCAGCAGACCTTTCCCAAGGACAGTATATACTCCTCCTCCCCTCCTCAATCGTGTCGGCCCCCCCCCCAAAAAAAAAAACTCACAGGCACACCCGAGGACCTGGTCAACTACTTCATGTTCGTGGCGGAGGAGGTGCGCGCGGGGCTGGCCTCGCTGGGCCTGCGCTCGCTGGACGAGCTGGTGGGGCGCGGCGACTACCTGCGCCAGCGCACCGACGTCAGCCTGGCCAAGACCTCGGCGCTGGACCTGTCCATCCTGACCCGCTTCGCCGGCGAGACGGCCACCAGCACGGAGCGGCGCGGCGCGCCGCCGCACGACAACGGCAGCGAGTGGGACGACGTCATCCTGGCCGACGCCGAGGTCCAGAAGGCCATCGACGAGGAGGGCACCGTCCGCCGGTCCTACGACATCGCCAACACCGACCGCTCGGCCCTGGGGCGCCTGGGCGGGGCCATCGCCAAGCGCTACGGCGACGACCGCTTCCAAGGTTGGTGGGTGGGAGGGGGTGGGGGGGGTGTTCCGGTCCTCTGTGTGTGCTTGTGGTATTTGGGGGGAGATGGGCCCATCTTCTTCAGTCCACGACAGTGCAAGGTCGCTGTCACGGCTGGTGTGCGTGGTTTTGGGCAGCCATGCTGACGATCTGGGAGGCGGGGGGGGGGGGGGGGGCGGCCGGCTGGCTCGCGCCGACATGTCTCGCCTCCCGACCATACGACCCATCCCCCCGCACGCACACGCCGTCACCCCACAGGCCGCATCGAGCTGGACCTGCGGGGCTCCGCGGGGCAGTCCTTTGCCTGCTTCATCACCCGCGGCGTGCACGTGACGCTGACGGGCGAGGCCAACGACTACGTGTGCAAGGGCATGGCCGGGGGCGAGGTGGCCATCCGGCCGCCCGAGGAGTCGCGCTTCCCCGCGCGGGAGGCGAGCATCGTGGGGAACACCTGCCTGTACGGCGCCACGGGCGGCGCACTCTTCGTCAACGGCCGCGCGGGCGAGCGCTTCGCGGTGCGCAACTCGCGCGCCGCCGCCGTGGTGGAGGGCGTGGGCGACCATGCCTGCGAGTACATGACGGGGGGTGTGGTGGTGGTGCTGGGCAAGTCGGGACGCAACGTCGCGGCGGGCATGACCGGCGGCCTGGGCTACTTCTACGACCCCCAGGGTGAGAGGCTGATGTGGGGCAGGGGGTTGGGGGTGGTGGGAGGGAGGTGGAAAGCCCCCATGCCGGGCGCGGGTGGAGCATGGGCGTCTGTCACGAGGCGTCACCGAGGACACCACGGTGAAGGGCCCGCGCCCTGCACCCCCCACCCCCACCCGGGAGCTCGCACCCCTTCCCGGACACCCACCGAACCTCCCCGCCCATCCCCACAGGCACGTTCCCTGACCGCGTGAACGCGGAGATCGTGACGGTGCAGCGGGTGCTGACGGGGACGGGGGCTGCGCAGCTGAAGGGGCTGCTGGAGCGGCACGTGGAGCTGACCGGGTCGGCCGCCGGGCAGGAGCTGCTGGGCGACTGGGAGGCGGCCCTGCCCCGCTTCTGGCAGCTGGTGCCGCCCTCGGAGGCCAACACGCCCGAGGCCTCGGAGGGGGCCGAGGGCGAGGCGGGGGACGGCGCGGGCGCGGAGCGTGAGCCCGCCGCCGCCGCGGCCGCCTCCGCCTGACCCGGCGGGAGTGGCAGAGTGACTGAACGACGAGGGGGAGAAGATATGCGATGAGTTGCCCTGAGTGCGTGCGCCCTGTAGATGCCCACCGAGCTTGCTGTTTCATGCATCCTGTGAACGGTGTGCGTGCCCCATCCATCCCGGGCTGATCCACGGCATGGGCGGAATCCGAGACCCAGCAGTTTCGCCACAGCGCCCCAGGGTGAAGGGGGATGGGAGGGGAGATAACGCATGCCCTCCCCCACATTCCCCACACATTGCCACGAGTGATCCAGCGATTTCAGCACCTCGAGATCGGGGCGCACGACACCGACCTGCTCGCGAGTCCTGGCCCTACCGGTCCCGTACAGTACCCACTGCGAGCCCCCTCGTTCCAGCCCCTCCCCGGCCCATTTCAAGGCACCAGAGTGTGAGTTGATGGTGAATGCATATGCGGCATCCCGGGCACCCGATGGAGGGCCTTGGCCCCGGTCCGACTGTTGCTTTGATAGCACATTCCGCATTGGAGCATGGGCATGAAGCATTACGCATATAATTTGACTTTGCCAGCATTGTGTGCAGAGCCGGAACACCCCTCTCGCCCCGCGCAGAACATTTCATATTGTTGATAAAGAATCATGACACGCATTGATCTCGCCGGGGAGCCTGGCGAAGTCCGTAACCCTCCAGCTGTTGATCTCAACCTCGCGGACCCCGCCCCGGGCCCCGGCAGCATGGCGGGCGCCAAGACTGCCAGCGACAGGTCTACAGTGCGAGTAGAAGAGGATCACATGGGCGAGGAGCTGGCGTGCGGGGTGCTGGCCGGGCTCGCCAGCTACGCGGATCCCGCTCAACTCAAATTCCAGGGTGGGTCCCGCCTCTCCCCGGGAGCGGGCCTGGCCCCCATTCGCGCCAGTCATGACTCCGTGGTCCTGGCGCCGGGCGTTCCGGAGGGCACGGACGTCATCAGCTACGCCACGCCCAAGGTGGGGTGGCTCCGCGGATGGGCCTCGGCGCATGCAAACCCTCGCGGTGCAAGCTCGCACATGCATGCGTGAGCAGGGAGCTGCAGTGTGGCTTGCATGTGCCCATTCCAGCACCATGGACGCCTTGCATGCCTCCCTGACGTCGCTGAGGGGGAAGGAGGGGGATTGCAGGAGGGCCTTGACCCATGCCTTTAAAGCCCTCCCCTCTCACATCAGCTCCTCCCTGGTGTGTCCAGCCGCCGTCCCCTCCCCCCAGCCCCCCCCACCCCTCCTTCTCCCATCCCATTGCCCAAATCCAGGGCGAGGACGGGGCGGAGCTGGGCCAGAGCCCCTGCTCCAGCGCGGACCCGCCCGCCCCGCCCGCCCTTCGCGTGCTGGTCGCCAAGACGCTGACCAACTCGGACGCGGGATCCGGGCGCATCATCCTGCCGCGCGTGGCGGTGGAGACGCACCTGGCCTTCGTCACGCCGCACCGCCACTACGCGCTGCGCGTGCGCTGCGCGCGCACTGGCGCGCAGCACGCCTTCGTGGTCAAGTCCTGGGCCAACGGCTCGGAGCACCGCCGCGTGTTCGTGCTGGAGGCCGCGGGCGAGTACCTGCGCACGCTGGGCCTGGGCGTGGGTGACACCGTCGGCATCTGCGCCGCACCCGACGGCGGCCTGGTGGTCGCGGCCAACACGCCCGAGCTGCGCGCCGCAACCGCCTACCCTCGCGTCGCCGGCGGCGGCGCCACCGCCGGCCCGGGTACCAATGCACGCCTGGGTAGCGCGCTGGGCTTGGCCGGCCTGCCCAGCTCCGCGACACGCGGCGCCGGCGCCTGCCTGGGCCGTTGCACCCGCTCCGGCCACTGCGCCAAGGCCGCTGGGCACCCCGGCTTCTGCTCCGGCCCCAAGGCGGCGGCGGCCGCCGCCGCCGCGGCCGCTGGCAACGCACTGAGGCCCGCGCCCGGCCGCCTGCCCAGCCAGGCCTCGCCCTCCAGCAGCGAGGGCGGCCCGCGTGCGGCGCGCGACGCCTTCTCCCCGGGCGCCTCGGGCGGCAGCAGCGACGAGGCCACGACCTTTGAGGCGCGGGCAGGCTGGGCCTGGGGCGCCCGCCATGACGGCGTCGCCCGCCCCGCGCCGCACGCCGAGCTGGCGCTGCCGGGCGCGCCGGGCGACCTGGCGCACCCGCTGGCCTGCGTCGCGCCCCGGGCGCTCCTGTCCAAGACGCTGACTGTGTACGACCTGGCCTCGGGGCGCGTGGTGCTGGCCCCCGGCGACGTGGCGGCCACCGTGCCCGAGGCCCCCCGCGCCGGCCGCCTGACGCTGGCGGCGCTGGACGAGGAGGAGGTCTGGCGCTTCTTCGCCCTCCGCGGCTGGACCAGCGTGGCGGGGCGGCGCGGGTACGTGCTGGAGGGCTCCGAGGCGGCCGCGTTCCTGTCGGACCGCGGCGCCGCGCCGGGCGACGAGCTGGTGCTCTGGCGCGACGGCGCGTGGGAGCCGCCGCGCGTGGAGGTCCTGCGCGCGCGCGGCGCGGGCATGGAGGACGGCGAGACGCTGCGCGCGGCCGCGCCCGCGCCTGCCTCGGCGGTGACCTATGCCGACTGGCCGGCGCTGCTGCTGCCGCCCGCGCACGGCGCGCGCGGCTCGGGGTGCGGCGCGGGCGAGCCCTGCACACGCACCTCCGGCTGCGTCAAGCACGCAGGGCACCAGGGCTTCTGCTCGGGGCACAAGGGCTTCCGGCGGCGCGCGGGCGAGGCCGGCGGCGGGCCGCAGGGCGGCGCGCCGACCGCCGCGCGCGCTCCGGCGCGAGCCAGCACGCCGGCAGGTGTGCTCTGGAGTGTGGGGGAGCGGGGTGTGTTGTGGATGATGGCTGGCGGATGGGGGTGGAGGAAGGAGCATCTGGGGCCGGTCGGGGTGTGGACGGGGGCGCCTGGGTCCGCGAGATGCCCACGCCGCGACCTCGCCCCGCATCCGTCGGGCGTGTATGGGTCCGTGACTCGCATGCAGTCGGCGACGCCCCCTCGCCGACACCCCAACCCAAGCCCTTGCCTGATCACCCCTTCCCCCCCCCCAAAAAAAAGCTACATCAGGTCTGGTAGGCGCGACGAGGACGAGGACTCGGACTATGTGCCCACCACCAAACGCGCCCGCGCCACGTCCGGCAGCGGCTACGTCCCGCGCCGCAGCCAGGACCCGCTGCTCTCCCTCCTCTCCCTCCTGGACTGAGCGGGCGAGGCGAGGCGAGGCGGGCCGCTCCCACACCGCCCTCGCGCCCCGCGCGGCGGGGCGGTTCCTTTTGACTGGGAGCGCGAGTTCCCCCTTTCACCACCCCATCCCCTTTCCAGACCGTGTGCTTGGATCAGGTGTGCGGAGGGGTCCCCCCTCCCTGCACCGACTGTTCGCCAGGCTGGTTCCCGCGCCGTCCGGTCGCCCGACCCCTCTGGCCCGCGCCGGGCTGTACCATACGCTCCCAGCACTCCCCCTGCCCCTGCCTGCACCCCAGCACGCCCCTCCGCCCCGCGATTTTCGCGTGCCCGAGCCCGAGGCCCGGGTACCCGCGGCGGCGGTGCGGCGGCGCCCATTTACACAGCTCTCCGTGCTCTGTCCATGCCCACCCACACGCCTGTCCCTGCCGACCGCCGCGAGCTGATGCCCCGCGCCCAGTCACCGCACTATTTACCCGCGCCGCGCCCTCCCCTCGAAGGGGGGGGCGCGGCGCACTTCCCAACCCACCCCCTCGGGTGCCGCCTGTACCATGCGCTTGCAGCTCCCGGGTCGCACGGCGCCGACGCGCCGCCGCCCCCGCTCTCCCCTGCGTATCCGTGCACCTCGCCGCCTCACCCGTCTGACGTTGCATTGCCACCCCCGGAGCGGCGCGACGCCGCCGGAGCGATTGTGACCCTGCGTCGTGCGCGTGGGCACTTGGGGTGCCAGGGGCGGACCATGCTCCTTCCCCCCCCACGAGCACCACGGCCCTGTAATGCTGCATGTGGATATCACGATCAGGGGTTGGGCAAGTCGGGGGGTGTCAGGGATCACATGTCAGTGGGTACTGGACCCCAGCACGCCAGGAGGAGCATGGGCTTTGATGTCGAGGGTTGTTTCCAACCGTAATTCCCACGCCGCTGCGAAAGGACGGGAGCTGGTGTCGGGAGGGTGAAAGGGGTGTCCACATCCGATACAAGAGCATGAGGGAGCACACTACAACTCAACCACCGGTCGATCAGGGTGCCATGCATGCTTGACGACGAGGACTGGGGCTTTGGGGAGTTCCAGTCGGCACCCGGCGGGGAGCCGGGCCCGAGCACCGACGACGGCCGGAGCGACCCCTCGTGGAGCCAGCCACGGCGTGGAATGAAGGGTATAGGCTCGGAGGATGCCCTCCAGCCGGGCATGGAGGTGCTGTACCTTGGGAGGGACGGGGGCGAGCTGCCCGTGCAGGTGCGTGGGGCAACAGCAGGGGTTGGCTGTCAGGAACCTGTGCGAGGCCTTTCTGTGCGAGGCATCCAGCCGGTCCATGCTCTGCCACCCCCCTCCCCATATCCTTCACGTTCCAGGTGGTGTCTGTTGACAGGAGTGTCCTGCCATACAGCTATGGCATCCTGCTGGGTGGGAACTACCGTGAGACAGAGGCCAGCCGGCTGAGGGTGGCGGGCGACGGTGCTGGGAATCAGGAGGTGTACCCGCAGACGCTGATCCCCTCTGGTCTGAGCCATGGTGGGGTCGAGAGGTGCTGCAGCCCAGAAGCAGCCGTCGAGCTGCGTACCGAGAGTGCTGACTTTTCGTTTGGGGAGTGGACGGGGCTGGAGGTGAGCACCGTGCTCGTCCCGACTGAAGCCACCGCCATGCACACTGGGGCCCTGGATGCCATGGGACCTCCGAGCGCGCCGGTGGCGGCTGCAAACCACGACTGGTGAGCTTGGGTCTGCGGTGGGGTGCAGGGTCCCGTGGCTCTTCATGCAGGCTCAGCATCGCATTGCTGTAGGGTCTGAGCGTCTGTGCTCGGCTGAAAAGAGCCTATGCCCGGCACCCCACGATCAACCATCAGGTCAGAACCGCTTCCTGAGGACCTCTTTGGAGGGGCGGCGACGGATGAAGCCGAGGCTGCGTCTCGGGAACTGGACCCCCTTCGCACTGACCTTGCCTTGGACACCCTGCAAGTTGAGCCCAGGAGCTTTGATCCCAGGGTCGATAGCTCCTGGCCTGAGAGTGGGGCTGCCAGAGCCTCGGTGACGTCTGCAAAGCATCCTCTGCCCCAGGCGGCGCCCCGCGAGGAGGAGCACCCCGCCAGCACCCCCCCGCCAGCATGCGCCGAGGCCCCGGCTTCCGATGCACCGGTCGCGCCTCGGCAGCCACTGGTCCGCGACGCGGAGCTGGGCCAGGAGAGCGCCCCCCCCGTGCCCCACCCTCCGGATGCAGACTGGGGTGCGGCAGATGCCTGGGTCGCCTGGGTGTCCCCCGATCCGGAGGGTGCTGAGGAGGGGCCTGAGCCTGGCTGCCGAGAAACCCGCCACCCCTTTGAGCCCACCACCCCTCCCTTGGAGGCCTCCCATGCCTCTCCCACCGCTGAGGATGCTGGCAGGGGCCGGGAGCAAGGTCTCACACCCACCCAAAGCCTGGGTGCTGCTGTGGTCGCCACGGCATCAGACAGTCTCGGCGCACAGGCTGAGGACGGGACGGCCTCCCCCAGATCAGTGCACGAGGAGATTGGCAGGCCATACTTTCCAGCCGAGCAGGATCAGGTCATGACCGCTCCCACAGCGCCGCCTGCCCTTTCACGGGAGACTGGGACCCAACCCTGCGTCGCCGAGTATGGCGTGGCGTGGTGTGAGCTGCTGCAGGTGAGGGCTGCAGAGGAGGACTGGGGCAACGTGGGGTGTGTGTGCACGGCGGCCAAAGGCCACTCGTGTTTCACCCTCATGGGGGACTGCGCCGTGTTTTGCGCCCCAGGTGCCGCATCAACATAGCCCTCCCGGCCCAGGATGGCGTGTTGGACCGTCCTCAAGAAATTTGGTTCGCGTTTTTCGAGAGCACGCCCTGCCTCCCTGCCACAGGCATGCGCCCAATTGCTCTCCGAGGCCGCACCGGCGCTGGCCAGCCTCTCGGCGCCCGGTGTGGCGCTGGCGGCCGAGCTGGAGGCCCGGTGGCGGCGCCAGCTGGCGGCCCTGGGCCGCGTGTACTGCGCGTCTCGCCTCGTCGCTGCGGCCGCCTCCCACCACCGCCTGCTGGGCCTGGTCCGGGGCATGCAGGCCGCCGACGCCGCCTGCCGGACGGCGTGGGGCGGGGAGGGCGCGGGGCTGGGAGAGGCGGTCACGCTGGCCGACCCGGACTTTGCGGCAAGCCTGAGCGACGTGTGCAACCTGCCAGACTGGCTGGCCGGGTGCGACGCAGAGGAGCTCGCCACTGGGTTGGAGTGGAGCGCAGGACTGGAGGGGTGGACACTGCTCCCGGCCCGCCTGATGCCGGCCTCCCTCCGACAACATGAGCTGGCGCTGGGCACGGCCCAGGATCCCCGCCCCTGCCTGGTCCTGCTGACTAACCTCTGGGGATACCATGTTTCCCGAGAGCTGCCGCTCCTGGACTGACTGCCATCTGTATTCCTGAATCTTGAGTCTGGCGCAGCATGCCCACCTGGTGTGGCACTTCACCCCACTTGCATAGATCCTCACGATGGTTGCAGGTGAATTGAGTATAAGTGTACCTACATCATGAAGATGTCCTTGCGGGCGCATGCAGTCTCTCATGTGCCCAGCATGCGACAGGCGCACCTGGTCCGCCCGGGCTCAAGGTACAGGATCCGCCGAAGGTACGATCCCTGATCACGAGCTTGGGAGGGAAGACATGTATGTACGGCAATAAATACGGTACGCTTACAAGAAAGTGGGACGGGGCGACTTGTCACTGCATCAGCAGGTCCTGCGCCGAATGCCCCCCATGAACACCCTTGCATCTCCCGGACATGCTCGCGCGCGGTGTGGGCACGTCCGAGAAAGCGGTGTGGGCGGGGCACTGGTCATTTCTTGGCAGACGAGATCATTACAAGGGCCTGAGACCGTTAAGCGGGTCGCGTCGATCACCAAACTCAGGCCCCTTCACGCACAAGGGCGCCACCCATTCACGCACGAGCTTCCCCACCCCCTGGGACCCGACCTCAGCGCGCTGCGCCAGTGTCGACCATGGGCAGTGTGAGAGCCCGGTCCAAGGAGGCTGGGTCAGGCGAGGAGGGCGAGCATCTGACTTCCTCTCGTTTCGCTGCCACCCCCTCGTCCAGCCCGCTGACCTCCGAGTCGCGGCGTCGGGTGCCGGTATGGACGTGGATCCTGTTTGGCGCTGCAGCCCTGCTGACACTCACCCTGCTGGGCCTGGGATACTCCAGCAAGACCACCGCCAACTACAGGCATGACTCCTTCATCACAGTTCAAGGCACGCAGGGATAGGTAATCGTCGGCTCGGGCGCATGGCCATGCTGGCCTCCGGTGGAACTCCCCTTCAATCCCCACTCCAACCCACATCCTTCCGGACCACCCACCATGCAGTTCCTGCACAAGTGCCGCCCCTTTTACATTGCCGGCTTCAATGTCGACAACCTGGCGGAGGCCATGCTGGCGTGGTCGCCGTCCCGTGCCGGGGCCGCTGGCACGGCCGTGGGGGCTGCTGCCATTGTCAACGTGCTCAACCAGGCCGCAGCAGCGGGCCTCAACACCGTCCGCACCTGGGCCCACACCACAAATCCCAAACAACCTTTCCAGGCGAGTTGGAGCGGTGGTGCCGCAGATTGTCAGTCTCAGCGTTTGTGTGCCTGGACAATGAGCATGGAGGGCTGTGCAGATGTGGGCGCCGTTGCCTGTGGCCTGTGAGCAGCCTTAACGCTGCATTCTTTTCGAGTTTTCAGAATACATGATCTCGCTTGAGTTCCTCTGTCAGTTACCCCTGCTCCATGTTCGAGTCTTGGAAATGGCAAGGAAGCTTGCTCTCCATTCTCCATCCCTCCCCCCCTGCCCTGTCTCATGCAGGTGAGCCCTGGCGCGTACGACGAGAACGCCTTCCAGGCTCTAGACCTGGTGATTGCCGAGGCGGAGAAGAAGGGGCTGCGTGTCATTCTGAGCCTGGTGGACAACTGGAAGTATGAGGGCGGCGTTGATGAGTTTGTGGACTGGGCCAAGACGGTCCCGGCCCGCGACAAGAAGTACCCAGTGGCGACGGGCGGCGACGGCGACGTGAACGATATGGTAGGGTGGTCAAGGCAGAGCTGTGTTGATGGGTGGGGCTGCACTGTGGGGCTTTTGTCCAGGTATTGGGTGGACTCCCAATGTCTTGATGGTGGTAAACTACGTTGTACGGCCCTGGGATGCAAGTGGTAGGGTTGTGTGGCTCCACTGTCCTCGGTTCCTGCGCTATGTCGGCATTCAGCTCAAAACCCGGCTTGCTTTTGTGATGCATAAATCCCCAGGAACATCATCTCATCACACTCATTCCAGCATCCGCCACTCCAAATTCACATCGTCAGGAGTGGAGCGAGGACCGCAAGCAGTACGAGGCCTTGCGCAAGGTGCTCTTCTTCACCGACGCCGGGGTCAAGACGCTGTACCGCAACCACATCCGTGCGGTGAGTGCCCCTGCAGTCTGGGATGGCGATGTGGCAGGAATGGAGCTTGCACCGGGCGCGATGGACTGCCGTATGGGCCCTGCCATCTCAGATCCTGTGTGGCACCGCCCCCTCCCCCATGCCGCACGTACCATCACCCCCGCCGCTCTTTCATCCTGCCCAGATCCTGGAGCGCGTGAACACTGTGAGCGGCAAGGTGTACCGCGAGGACCCCACCATCATGGCCTTTGACCTGCTGAACGAGCCCCGCTGCTCCGTCTCCTATGTGAGCGGCAGGGAGAGGGAAGGGTGTCTGCATGTACAGGAGGGGGCGGAAGCCTCGGTGCAGTGGATGTCAGCGACTCGCACGCATCCGTCGGCTACTCAGTGCCTCGCAAGCGATGCGTCTGTTCACAGGCTCAGCCCCCTTGCCGCCCCTTCCACCTACCCTGGTGCAGACCCCGGATTGCACCAAGCTGGTGGAGCAGTGGGTGTACGAGATGGCGACCCACCTCAAGTCCCTGGATCAAAACCACCTTGTCACCATCGGGGCGGAAGGTGCGTGTGGGACGCGCATTGACGAATGTGCGGGGGTCCTTTCAGGGAAGGCCGGTGTTGATGGTCCTGTGGCAGGATGGAGGCTGCCATGGATGGCATACAGGGGACCAAAATTGGGCTTCATTTGGCGCATGTGATTGTGTCACGGGTGCCGTGCCCTTCTTGTCGGTGCACGGAAGGCGCAATCCCCCCCGCTCTGTCGTGTCGACCTCCCTCCCATCGCCCACCAGCCATTTCCCAACCACATCGCCCCTCGCTGAGAGCAGGGTTCTGGGGGGTGCACGACAAGATGCAGATCGCCAACCCCGGCGCGGCGGAGGGCTCGGACTGGGCCGCCAAGGCGGGGCAAGACTTTGTGCATCACCACAACATGCCCGTGGTGGACTTTGCCACCATGCACCTCTGGCCGGACAACTGGCTGACCAAGAACACCAGCTTTGTGGCCGAGTGGATCCACAAGCACATCGAGGACAGCACCAAGGTGCTCAAGAAGCCCGTCCTGCTCGAGGAGTGAGTGGTCGGCGGGGGTGGTGCAATGGCGGTAGGGGGCAGCAGTCGGTGGAGGTGGTAGGTTTGAACAGTGGCGCGGGGCCATGGATGTGATGCATGGCGGCATGTGAGTGGTATTCCCAACTCCGGCAACGATGCCGGGCTAGAATCCCGTGTTCCTTTGAACGAGTGCCCCTGCAAGCGTCGTCCCTGCTTGGCGGCTTGTGATGCTGGGTGTGTTGCTGGCATGGCTCAATCAACACTGAACAGCCACCCATTCCGCAATCAGCATTGTCCATCAACTAACTTCAACCATTGCCACATCGATACCTTCAGTTCCCAACCTCCTCTTCGACCAGCAGCCCCTCGCACCTCCTCGCCGCGCCCCCCCCCCCCCTTTTCAGGTTTGGCAAGAAGCTGTCGGCCGCCACCAGCCAGGCAGTGGCCTCGGAGCGCGACCCCGGCTTCCGCACGGTGTACGAGGAGAGCGAGATGTCCACCGCCTCCGGCTCGGCGCTGGCGGGCACGCTGTTCTGGCGCTGGGGCTTCAACGCCTGGGATGTGACCAACGTGGGCGAGTACGGCGTGACCCCGGAGGCCTCCACCTTCCGCGTGGTGCGCGGACACGCCCAGCGGCTCAAGGCCTTCCGCAACACGGCCCCCGCGCTGGCCACCTGCACGGCCGAGTGCTGGGTGGGGACCAGCGCGCTGGGCATCAACCGCTGCGAGCAGCAGCCGGGGGTGTGCCTGGAGCACGCCTCCGCTGCCAGCCTGGCCGTGCGCCGTGACGCCCAGGCCGGCAGGCTGCAGTCCGCAGGCGTGGAGGCGTTTGGCAGCCACGCCGAGTGCTGCCTGCCAGGGCTGGGTGCGTTTGCCGAGGGCTGCGCCACCACTGTGGTCTGAGGACCCGAGGGTGGCGGGAGCAATGAATGATGGGGTCCTCTTGAAGCGAGCGCTGCAGGCCCCACACTGTGTGTAATAACAATAGCTCGAATCACGGCAGGGGCTGGCAATGCAAGCTCAAAGAGTGGCGCAGGCCAGGGGATGGAGCGTGCTGAAACAGGTGCAGGCAGTACCTGGGGGATTCCCTCTCCCTCCTCAGGAGGAGATTGATCCCCCAGCATCTCCTTCTCGACACCTACCCACTCAGCCTGCAACCAACCAAAACATTCCCTTCCTCATCATCCACCTTCGCTGTTACATGCATGCCATGCCTAAAGAATTCGGGGGAGGGGAGCTGGTGTGGACCAGGCTCCCCTGTAGGGAAAATAATGGGCAGGCTCCACTCAAAATCGCACGCATGATGCATGGGAGCAGCGCCCAAGGAATGATGACATGGGGAGCAACGGGATCGTTGGCATGGTGTGCCACCCATGATGGGCCAGGGCTCAAGCAAGAGATCTGTCGACAGATCTATCATTTCTCATCAAGCAAGGTAGACGACGTGTGGTGGCAGGTGGAGGGGGACATCTGAGGCCTACCCCTTCACCAGCCTAATAGAAAAGAATGGATCGGGCTGAGGCGGGGGGGAGGGGTGTGCACCCCGCCCCAAAATAATTGCAGTGTGAGAAGGTTTCTTGGGCTGGATGCAGACCAGTGGCTGGTTGAGCGGGTCGTGACCCAAAGAATTTGTGAGCAGGGGTAGCGGCGATGAAAAACTGCCTGAAAGAAGCCGCAAGGGGGCAGCCACCATATCAGGAACAGAATGAATTCTGCTTTGTCCCCAAAGGGCGGGGAGAAGAGGGTTGGGGTGGCATTATTGCTTCTTGCAGGCCGGCCTCAGCATCACCTGGCGAAGGCCGGCAGCGGGCAGCCCCCCCCCCCGTGCGTCCAAGCCTAGGCCCCCACCAGGGGCGCACTGATCGCTTCGGCGGGGGGGCTGCCCTTGGCGGCGGCCGCGTCGCGCCTGTACGCCTCCAGCTCGGCGGGCTTGACGAAACGCCCCTTGATGCGAGGGCGGGCGTCCGCATATACCTTGCGGCACTGGTAGCGGACCACCTTGTTGAAGTTGCGGCGGCGGCGCTTGGAGAGGTAGCGCTCTACGCGATCGCGGCGGGTGAGGGGGACTTCCAGGGACAACGACTCATTGGAAGTGGGCGTGTGGATGGGGGCAGGAGGCGCCTGGGGAACCATCTGCATGTCGTCCGCATAGGCGGCAGAGAACTGGTACGCCTGCACGCGATCCTGGTGGTGGTGGTGGTGGGTGGGGGGGGGGAGAACATCAGTCATCAGATCATTCTCTACAAGCTCTTGTTTGAGGTGCATGCGCTACTCAAGGCCTTCTTGACAGTTTACGCCAAAGGCTGGTGCTTGCTTCATGCAGTGGTCGTGTGCCTCAAGACACTCCAACACCATCACCTCCAAGCCCTCAGCTCACCACAAGCTGGACCTCAGACTTGACCTTAGCTCCCAGCAGGTCCTTCTTGGTGTCGGTCTCCCAGTCCCAGTCGCTCTTCAGGGGCTCGAGGTCGCCCATGAGGCAGTTGAAGTCATCCTGGGACTCCGGGATCCCGAAGCCATCGAACAGCGCATCCGCGGCCCCCGGGAACATGCTGTCCTCGCGGGGGAAAGAGGCGTCGAACTGGGGAACGACCGCCAGGCTCCCGTTGTCCCAGCTCTCGCTCCCGGAAAAGGTGGGCGAGCCGGGGCTGGACTCGAGGGCGGTGCGGTGGTGGCTCGCCATCAGCAGGGTGTTGTGCTCCGAAGTATCGCACGCCTGGCACAGGTGCACGCCATCATTATGGCAGTACAATACGGCCGGACGAGGACAGATCGCGCAGGACGTCATGTCTGCAGGGAATGGGGTGGGGGGGCCGGGCACTCGTACTCATGAGCGTCGCGGGAGCGGGCATGCGGCCGAGAACCCCCCCGGGCTCAGTCTCCGCCATGCCGGGTCTGGTTTAGCTGTTCCAAGGTGCTGGGAGGCGTCCTGGTCGCAGTTGCCCCTTCGCATGCGGTTCTGCCGTGGGCTCACCTAATCTCGGATATAGGCGTCGAATTGATAATGGGTTGCGCTCCGCGAGGGTTGTCGAAGACCGCCGCTTTAGTACCTTCCTTGGTAGAAAAGTGTTGTATGAGTGATGTAGTGCAACGGGGAATCAACTGCGGAGGTCTGGCAACCAGCTCCACGGTATGCCCGGAAGATAGTGGGGAACCTTCTGCATAGCTCCATCCATCAAACCCCACGGGGGATCAATTGCGATTCTCGCGGGAAAATTGAACGAAGCGGTGCCGGAGGCCCCCCTCTGGAGTGACACGACGGCCTGACCTGGAAGGGGTGGCGAGAGGCCCACAAGAAAGCCCAGCGATCATTCCCACATCGGCGATAACGATACATTTCAACAAGAAGTAGAGCATCGGGATCCCTGCCAGCCCAAGCCCACTGCTGGCTGCGCACCATCGGTCCCTGGCCCAGCCCCGGCACCCACCATGGCGATGGGGATGCCGTATGGCATGCAGTCTATGCTGAAGGACGGGCATAAAATTATGTCTGGGCTGGAGGAGGCGGTGCTCAGAAACATCGAGGCGTGCAAGGGCCTGACACAGATCACTCGGACCAGCCTGGGCCCCAACGGTGCGTACCCGCGGGGGGCTCTATCCCGGCGCATGCAATGTTCCAAGACATATATTTAAAGGTGCATGAATACTCCGGCTGCCGACCCGATGTCCCTCCCCATGAACCCCCCCTCCAGGCATGAACAAGGTGGTGATCAACCACCTCGACAAGCTGTTCGTGACCAGCGACGCCTCCACCATCGCCGGCGAGCTGGAGATTCAGCACCCCGCCGCCCGCCTCATCGTCCTGGCCGCCCAGGCCCAGCACGCGGAGGTCGGGGACGGGTGCAACTTCGTGCTCACCTTTGCCGGGGAGCTGCTGGGCCACGCCGAGGCCCTGCTCCGGGACGGCCTGCACCCAGTGGAGATCGCGGACGGCTACGCCAAGGCCGGCAAGGCTGCCCTGGCGGCCCTGGAGTCCCTCGTCGTCCCCGGCTCCGTCGACCTGGACCTGACCAGCGCCGACGCCGTGGCTCGGCGCCTGCTGGGCCCGCTGTCCTCCAAGCAGTACGGCGTGGAGGCCACGCTGGCCGCGCTGGTGGCGCGCGCCTGCGTCGCGGTGCTGCCCCCCAACCCTGCCAACTTCGCCGTGGACAACGTGCGCGTGGTCAAGATCCGGGGCGGCACCCTCTCCGACTCCTACGTGGAGCGGGGCCTGGTGCTGCGTCGCGGCGTGGAGGGCCGCGTCGCCTCCGCCGCCAACGCGCGCGTCGCGGTGTACGCGCAGGGCTTCGACACCTCGTCCACCGAGACCAAGGGCACGGTGCTCATCCGGTCGGCGGGGGAGCTGGAGGGCTACGCCAAGGGCGAGGAGGCCAAGCTCGAGCAGGTCGTCAAGGCTGTGGCAGGTGGGTGCTGTGTGGTTTTGTGGGGGTGGAGGGGAGATTGGGTGTCTCCAAGTGATCCGGACGCCGTGCTCCCCACCCCTTTACACGTCCGCCCCAATGCACCGGCCCACCCATGATCCATACCGGACGCGACGCAAACCACCCACCCTCACATCACCCCCCCCCCACCACACGGTAAACCATACCAAAACAGACTCCGGCGCCACCGTGGTGGTCTCCGGCGGCAACTTTGGCGAGATGGCGCTGCACTTCCTGGACAAGTACGGCCTGATGGCGGTCAAGGTGCCGTCCAAGTTCGATCTGCGCCGCGTGTGCCGTGCCACAGGCGCAGTGGCGCTGATGGGCACCGCCGCGCCCACGGCCGCCGAGCTGGGCCACGCGGGCTGTGTGGAGCTGCGCGAGGTGGGCTCCACCCCCGCCGTCCTGTTTGGCGGCCAGGCCTCCCGCGCCGGCATTGCCACCATCGTCCTGCGCGGCGCCACGGACCAGTTGTTGGACGACGTGGAGCGCGCGGTGGACGGCGGCGTCAACGCCTTCCGTGCGTTGACGAAAGACGCGCGCGCGCTGCCGGCCGGCGGCGCGGTGGAGATCGAGCTGGCGCGCCGCCTCGCCGACATGGCGCGCAAGGTGGCTGGCGCAGGGGGGGGAGGCGGGTCGCGGTCTGGCGCGGTGTGAGGGGCTCCGGGGCGTGCTCCACATCCCCTGCGTGGTTGCCGGAGTCCTTTGCTTCCCATGCCACACGATGCCCTCCCTCCATCTTGGCATTGCCCGCCACCCTCACCCCCCCCAACCCTGAATACACCATGCACACCAACACAGGAGACGGGGCTGGACCAGTACGCCATCGCGCGCTTTGCGGACGCGCTGGAGGTAGTCCCGCGCACGCTGGCCGAGTCCAGCGGGCTGCCCGCCGAGGAGAGCCTGGCCGCGCTGCACGCGGCGCACGCCGCGGGGCAGGCCCGCGCGGGGCTGGACGTGGAGACGGGCGCGCCGCGCGACCTGGGCGAGGACGGGCACCTGGACCTCTTTGCCGCGCGGTGGTGGGGCCTGCGCCTGGCCGTGGAGGCCGCCACCACCGTCCTGCGCGTGGATCAGATCATCATGGCCAAGACGGCGGGTGGGCCCAAGCCGCGCCAGGGCGCCGGCGACGACGACGACTGAGCCGGAGTGGCGTGGGGGGGGAAGTGGGGGGGGGGGGGGACGGGCACCCGCCCGCGCCAGCGCAGACTGGGGCGGGCGGAGCCTGGGGCGGGCGGAGCCTGGGACGCCCCGGGCGCCGGGGACCGGCCAGCGTGCCACTCCCAGCACGGTCTGATGTTCGGGGCCTCCGCTCCGCATCCCTCTTCGTCGATCCTCTCGCCTCCCACCGGTGCGGAGCTCGGGATGGCTGAGAACGCTCTGGTCACCCAAGCCTTCCCCTTGCGCCCTGCAATCCCACCCCCTGCTCGCCTGGCTCTTGCATGCTTCTCCCCCTGCAGCTGTGCTCTGTGTGTCAACACGCAGGGCAGGCAGACAGGCACGCACGGTGCCGGGATGGAGCCTTTCCCCGGAGCGAGGCCCAGGAAGACCCCCTCCGACGCATGCACACGCCATCCAGGCGATCAGTCGAACAGGGAGAAGCCCATGTCCTCCTCCTCCTCCTCCTCCTCCTCGCCGGGGGCGGCGGCGGCGGCGGCGGCGGCGGGCGCGTCGCCGCCGCCGGCGGGCGCGGCGGCGGAGGCGAAAGCGGTGGGGTCGGCCAGGTAGGCCTTGACCTTCTCGGCCAGGGGAAAGGTGTAGTCGGTCTCCACCGCGATGGCCAGCGCGTTCTTGTAGCCGTTGATGAGGGAGTGGGGCGCGGAGGCCATGGTGGGGAAGTCGAGGGCCAGGGAGGCGGCGGCCACGTTGCGGATGCCGGCGGTGAGCAGGTCGCCCAGGGTCTCGTCGGTGATGTCCAGGACCTTGGGGTCGTAGAGCGAGCCGTTGTCGTACACCTGCTTGACCACCAGGCCGTAAGTGAAGGGCTTGATGCCCAGCTTGGCCAGGAGGGTGGCCTGGGAGGCGCCCACCTTCTCGCCCGGCTTGATCAGGTGCACGTCCGACACGATCTCCACGGTGCCCTTGTTGATCTTGGTGGAGATGTTCAGGGCCTGGAAGAAGGAGGTCTGGGACGGGTCCATGCCCGTGTTCCCAGCGTACACCGTCACATCGTTAGGGGCCACCAGGCCCACGCGTGCCGGGGCGCCAACCTTGAACTCCTGGATCTTGTCGCGGACCTCGTTCAGGTCGCCCTGGGTGAAGATCAGGCCCACGTTGCCCACCAGGTGGTCCAGCAGCACCAGCCACTGCTCGTTGCCCGTGCGCTCCACGTACAGGCGCAGGCAGCGCCGGATCAGGGTGTTCTTCCCCATCAGCACCGTGGAGTTCTCGCGCAGACCCTGGGAGTTCGTGAGTGGAGGGGAGGGGAGGGGGAATCAGTGGGGCGAGAGGAGGAGGAAGGGGTGGGGGGGCAGGAGGAGGGCATGGCGAGCGGAGGAGACCGCGACTCGCAGGAGCCCGGGCGAGTCCAGCCAACGTCTTCCAACTCACCGCGCGGATGTTCATCATCTGCATGGACCCGACATTGTCGGCGTGCACCAGGAAGGCCTTGGTGTGCGTGTCCAGCAGCTCGCACAGCTTGGCGTCATACTGCCGGGGGGGGGGCGAGGGGCAAGCAGGGGGCGTCATGTGCGCGTTGATGGACAGGCCACCACTGCTTCAGACAGTTAGCCTTCCGAAAGATCAGACTCCAGGGTCCGAAGCCCCATCCCTGGCAGCCCAGCTCACCGCCTCCTTCTTCACAAGCTGCTTGGCGGAAGGCATGGTGACGGGGGTCTAGCAGGACCAAACCGGTTCGTTACCGGCAGGTAAATTTAACCTGCTAGGTGTTTGCTGTGGAGAGGGAGTTTGCGACCCGCGAGCGGGCTTTAATGGCAGGGCGACGCCGATGGTAACAGGCACGGGCGGGCGGCTGTGCGACGTTCCCGCCAAAATCCACAATTTTGGTCTGGGTGGGTCTGGAGCTGGTTGCGAGCGGGTGAGGACATGGAGCACCGCACACCCAACCTCCTTCCCACTGCGACACAGACTCAGGGAGATTGCATCGCATTGGGAGCGAATTTGATTGCAGCATGAGGGGTGCACCCGTCATTCACGACAGTCGTTTGACTGGATGAGGGCGTGCCACGCCTGGAAGAGGAGAATGGCAGTCACCTCGCCACCACCTCTGATGCACTACGCTTCAGCTCATGGGCAGGCAAAGGCACGATGCACAGCTCCTCCACGCAGTCATCCGGGTCTCGATCCGGGGGCGGCCGCCTCAGCTCCAGGGTGGCGCTCTCCACCACCACCAGGTCCTCTGCCTGCTGAGTTCTTGCAGCCGGCTCTGCGCTGCCGGGCTGTGCTGCGTCCGCAGGCCCCTGCCCAGCAGGCTCACCAGGCGTGTGTGGAGAGGAAGGGAACGACCCCTGGCCCCCCGCCCGCTCAGACTCCTCACGCGCACGGTCCTGCATCGCAGGCAGGAGCACTCGCAGCAGCGCGGTCAGCCCCTTTCCCTCCATGGTGGGCCAGCTGGAGGGGTCCCCCAGCCTGCCCCAGGCCAGCGTGCGGTCGTGGGCCTGCTGGTGGCTGTGCAGGTGCACCACCACGTGCGCCTGGGCCGCGGCGGGGCAGGTGGAGAGCAGGTCACGCTCCGCCCAGGCCAGGGCCGCCAGTACCACGCCCATCTCGCGGCGGAAGATGGCCGACCGCAGGCCCGGGGGGGCCCAGGTCCAGGCTGTGCCCCCGCTGACATGGCAGTGGACGTGCAGGCTCATGGCCTGGCGGGGTTGGGCGGTGCCTGGGCCCGCCACCGCATGCAGGTCCCCGCCGTGCGGCAGCCACTCTGCCAGCACCTCGTCACGCAGGAGCCGGGTGTAAAGCCTGGAGAGTTGCCTCTGGTTGTAACAGGGACCTGTCCCAGGGTGTGGGAGGGCTGATGATATCGGAGGAGCGGTGCAGGACACCACAAAGCCAGTCCTGGGGGTCATGCAAGTATGCGCTCAAACTCATGCAGTGTTGAAACTTTCCCGTCAGGGCCCGCCTACCTATGGAGAGGAAGAGGTTGCCAGTGATGTCGTTGTGCGTGAGCGTGTACTTCCGAGAGGGAAAGTCGGGATGAGGCCTGGACGCTCTCATGTCGGGCGCCAGGGCCACGCGGAGCTTGGAGGGGGAGAACAGGACGGTGGAGAACAGGGCAGCCTGTCCGGCGCAAAGGGGGACATGGGCAATGTGTGAATATCATGAGCGGCGTAGGGTGTAATGGCGCAACATGGAGGGTGCCAGCGATCCTCTACGACGCACCTGGGGCCTCATGGCGAGGGCAGGCCGGGGGGAGCGTGTGGACCGCAGGCCAACAGCGCACAGCCCGCCTAGTCCCTCGCACACTCCCAGCATGGATTCAGATGTTTGTCTCCTACTCCATTCCGAAGGCAAACTGTGCCACGAATCTCGGCATGGTCTAAATTCTGCAGCTGAGCAACACACCGACAGGAGTAGACACCGCACGCGTCATGCGCTCTTTCCCCTGGGTTTAGATGCCTGTGTAGAGAGTTTGCTCGTCTGATTATAGAGTAGGGTATGAGGCCATCGAGTCGTCTGTGCAAGCTGGAATGTGAGGCAGTTTCACCAACCTGTACGTTCCGTGCCCCCCATCCACTGGTTCATCTGAGGAAAATCTGATTGGCGCCCGCGAGATATGTCAGGGTGCTCACCTTCGCAACCTCCTGCCCTTTCACCCCCCTTTTACATGCTAATGCAAAAGCGCTGCCTTGCTGATTGATTCAAAAGTTATTTGAGCCTTGGGAGCAATTCTCGCAGTGCGTGAGATGACGAGTGTTTACAGGCCGCAACGTCAATGACAGCTCACTGCCGTCCCCTCAGATTAGCTAGAGCGGCTCCACAAACTTGCTACCTGAATTCCCAAAGACTTGAACATTACGTCCATCCATCCGAACTTACGGAGATCGGGCTCAGCATGTGGACACTGACGCATGGTAATGCACCGGTAGATGAGAGGGGCTTCTCATCCTTGCTCTCCAGGGTGCGGGAGGAGCAGCATTTTGTATCCGAGACAACACAGCTCGGCACTACTCATTGTTTAAATTGGTGCGTCAGGCTAGCTTCAATTGTTCAGTGTAATACAAGGTCATCCCTTGCAGGTCAGACTCGGCACAGCACAGAGACCAATGACAAAGTGCACATTAGCCCCCCCCCCCCCCCCAAGAATGCGTACCCATTCCTTTGAGCGTATCCTTCAAGGACCACACATCAAAGACCGATTTGGTCCTGCTACAGATGCCTTCGAAACCACCCATTTGGGGAAGTGTTAAGGTAAGCGTTTTCCTTGCCGCACTGCATTCCAGCTTGAGGTGTCTGTCCCACTCAACGATAGATCTATCTTCTCTCGACCCAAACAATGCTTTCTGATGACTCCATAATCGGGAGGCGAATGGGAGACAAAATTTCTGCATCAGGTGTAGTCGCCTGGCGGGCCGTACTGGTCCCCACAGGCACATGCGAAGAGTACTATGTGTGCAGCCAGCGCCGTACCCATACGGTTTTGCCCAGTCCCATATGGTACTGACTCGCTTCGTCCACCTCCCATCGAGAATATCTCGCTGATAGAGGTACTCCCATCAGAGAAGCTGAACAGAACCAGGCTAGCTGCCAGCTGCTCGAATAGGATGCCAGGCTCACAATAAAATCGTGCATCAATAAAAACCTCTAAACATAAAACAGGCCACGACTTTGCGTGCCTATCGAACCACCGCCGTCCTATAAAACCCATCCCAAGAATGTGGACTGTGCATGCCGAGGTGAGGAATCCTGTTGTCCGACGCTCGCGGATATTCCTCACGCAATGAGGAGAGCCACTTTGCAGGGGATGAGGCTTCTGTCAGTCATAACCTGAGTGTCTTCCACCCTCACTGCACCTATTAGATTCATTCAGGCCCCTCCAAGATATGGATTCGTCGAAGTCGGAAGGTGGGTCTGCCCACGTCCCCCTCAAAGACCCGGACTGTCGGTTACAAAGGTACCCCGCAGGGGGGTACGGCGGCACTTTCGCATGAACTTTTGGGTCCCACCTTCCGCATACCTCCGGCACGACACCCCTTTAACAGGAGGGTGGGCCAAACTCTTGTGCGGCTGCAAAATCTGAACCTAGAAGAACGAGACCTCCTTTGGATCTACTCCTGCCGGTCCTCACCACCCACGAGTGCGGTCAGCCCTTGAGGCCCCCTGGCCGCGACTGACCGCATCAAGGCCCAGAGCGCCTGAATATATGTGCAGGAGGTATAGTATACTGGTTGACACCTCTGAGTGAATCTCACAGGTCGGCACTCGGCTCGATGGGTGTCGCGGTTGCCGCGCAGTTGGGCGGTCGTTGTCTGGGGAGTGAGAGACCGCAGCCCACCACGGAATCGCTGGATTGACGGCCACTGGACACCCTCCGGCACTCATCTTTGCGAACTTAACTCATCCAGGTCCGCTTCTGAGGAGTTCCCGGGGGTCCAACTCCATGTCGCTCCAGAGGGGAGTGCTGCTCCTCCTGGCGCTGAGCGCCTGTGTGGCCGCCCAGTCCTGCTCCGACATCAGCGCCATCTCCAACGGCGCCAAGGCCGACGGCAAGACCAACGATGCCGCAGTGTTTGCCGCCATGAACTCCAAGTCCAGCATCGGGCTCATCTACATGCCCAAGGGGACGTACCTCATCGGCACCAGCATCACGATCAGCAAGCCCATCCTGGCCGACTATGGCGCGATCTTCAAGCTGTCCTCCGGCGTCACCCTGAGCATCTCCAACCAGCCAGAGCACTCCATCGACACCTTCTTCTCAGGTGCAGGATCAGGAGGTTTGGGGTTGCGTTCGAGGCGTCTCAAACTGCATGCTTGCCTTCGCTCATCTCCGGGACACAGGGGCGACACTCCCTGTGGCTGATCAAGGGTCCTTGGGGAGCAGCCAGCTCGATCACTGGTTTCAAGCGCCGCCTTGAGTTGTCCGTGTTGCAAGGGAGATGAGTGCCTGCTGCGCACCGCAGCCCAGGCACAGGGGTGTCCCTGAGATCAAAAAGCCTGGCCCCTAAAGCCCTGCACGACCTGCATCCCCAACCCCTCATCCACCCACAAACAGGGAGCGGCAGGGTGGACTTCCTGGCGGGCACGGTGCGCGCTTTCCCGGAGTGGTGGGGCGCCGTGGGCGACGGCACCACCGATGACGCGGCCGCCATCCAGGCGGCGTACCGTGCCGTCTCGGTGGGCCAGTCCGCCATGCTCTACTTCTCCTCCAAGACCTACGCCATCGGCAGCGAGCTCGTGTTCGGCATCACGGCCACCATCATGTCCGAGACAGGGGCGCGGCTGAAGGCCGTTGGCGCCGCCACGCGCGGCGTGCGCTTCACGGAGGGTGGGGCCACTTTCAAGATGGTCCTGCCCCACCTCACCGGCTTCTCCTCCTACTGCCTCAACCTGGCAGGCACGGACCTGGCCGCCCTCCAGCTGCAGGTGCGTTTTCTGTGGGTTGGGAAGGGAGGAGAACTGGCTGCGGAGGAGATCGGATGGGGAACATGACCTGGAGAGAGGACCCATCGGTGGGGGCCGGGAAAGTTGCGGGCCCCCTCTCAAGATCAAGAATCTCCCTTTTCTATATTGCTAGCCATTGCGACGGTGACTGATCACGATACAGGATCAAGAACCAAACGCTTGGGTGTTGATTGAGGGACCTGCATGACATCTCTCTGGGCACCGCCTAATCCTCCTCCCTCACCCTCCTCCTCCCAAACTCAGACACTGAGCAACTGCGGGGATGCCATTCGCCTCACAGTCACCCCCGGGTCCGACATCAACAACTGCCTGGACAACACCATCTGGTTCACCTCCATCACCAACAGTCTTGTCGGTGGGTGATTAGTCGGAGGCAGGCTCCCCTGGCATGGCCGGCATGGGAATAAGGACCGGGAGGGATATGGCCGGTGGCACAGCAAATCCCTTGTAGGGAAGGCTCGACTTACGCAGGGGGTCTTCAGATGACGCTGCATAGTAACTACACCTATACTCCAGGCACTTGGCCTTTCATGCCAGGTCCTCTTCCCGCTCCTTCTCAACCTCCCCTCTCACCGTTTCGGCAGGCATTGCCTTCCGTGCGGCATCCTCCTGCGCCGGCCCCTCCTGCGTGATCCAGGGCAACCAGTTCATCGGGAACACCATCTCGGGGGGACCCGCCTCTATCCCCGTCTCCGCCATCGGCATGTTTTACGGAGGATCCTCCTCCAGCACGCCCGCCTGGGACAGCAACCAGTGGAACATTGGCACCATCTCCCCCCAAGCCAGCAACACCCGCTACGCGGTGGTTCGGGCGGAACCCCTGTCCAATCGCGCCGTGGTCAAGTGCGTGGCGGTGTGCCTGAGAGGGGTAGGGGGTATGGTGGCCACACCAGCGTCTGCACGACCTGTCCAACCAGCGACCAGACTGTCCTGTGGGCGCAGGCTGTAAACCGCTGCATGAGGAAATACTGTTCCTCACCACTGTCCACCCCCTGCCATCCCAAGCCATCCGTCCACCATGTATGTACTCACTGTATCCCCATGGCGATCGTCCTCTCCCTCCAAACAACCCTCTCAAAACCCTCCTCCCTGTCAGGATCGGGTCCATCGGCGCGCTGGCCAACGGCGCCTCGATCTTTGCCGGCGAGCACAACATCGGGCAGTACACCCTGGGCCTGGCTTCCGCGCTGAAGGAGGGGGGCCTGGGCCTGGTGGGGCAGCTCAACCTGCTGGAGCTCAGCGGACAGCTGACGCCTGCCAGCACCTCCACCGTCATCACGTGAGGGAGGGGGTGGGGGTTGGGAGAACAGCCTCGGCAGTGCAAGCGGTGTGAGGTGGTAGGGTCTTGGACGGCCGCCCCGGTTGCAGCGTGCACTTTGTGATTGGTTCACGAGGTCGCTCAGGCTCAGCCTGCAGCGGGCATGGTCACCACTCTCATCCCGCACCCCATCCCGTGCACATTTTCAGGGCAATGACATCCAGCAACACCAAGGCAAAGTTCAACGGTGGTAAGGCGCTGGTGGGCAACTTCTTCTCCCTCAAGGCCATCCCCGCCACAGGTATGGGAGAGACTCTGATGGGGCAAGCTGCCTCTGGAATTGTGCAAGTGTGGCATGCGATGCCTGCTGGACACTGCAGCTGGTGGTGTTCTAAAATTGGGCACTTGTATCCAGAAGTGCCTTGATCGTTGCCGGGTTTGCCGCCCGTGTCCCTGGCAAGGCCGCCATCCTGAAGGCGACCTCCGCTGCATGAGACCCCCCAGGCCCCCCCTCACGCCACCCACCCTCTCACTCTGTGCCGCCACAGACTGGGCCACCGGCACCACTCAGACTTTCTACATCTACCACCAGTTGGCCACCAAGTATCTGTACCAGGTCAAGTGCAGCGCGCCCGTGCTCAAGGCCACCGGCCTTCCAGCGCTGTCCTGCACCCAGGTGCAGGACAACTCGGCCACCGGCACCAACGTCAAGTACGAGGTAGCACTGACCCTCATCAACATGAGTGGGGCCACGGTGAAGGCCTCCGGACCCGGTATCCCCTTCACCATCTCTGTTGCCACTCTGGGAGGCGCCTGAGGCCAGGCAACGGCCCCCAGGCCGTGCCATGGGGCCGTGCCCTCCATCTTCTGAATATTGAAACCCACGCACAGGCTGGACAGAACCCATGTAACCCATTGTACATGATGGTGTGGTTGAAAAGGGGACCGGGTGCGGTATGAGGGGGACCAGATGCCATTGGCAAGGCGGTGCGGTCCAACAACCCGGGAAGCTGCCCAGGAAGAAAGGGGGGTGGGAAGGGGTTGCGTCCGGAGCCCCGGAAGCCGTTACGAACACCGGCCGACAGACTTACCAGGGAGAGTGGTCGGATTCCACTGGTTGGAGCAGAGAGTGGCGTCGAATCTGGATCTTCTCGGTGTTTGCTCCCGAGTAAGGACGTCTGTGGACTCGAGGAGTAGGTAGAACCACGGGCCATCTCCCGACTGGCACCTCCCTGCCCCGCCCGCATGTCCGGCTGACCCCCAGCGTCACCCATCAAGGTAAAACCATGCATAAGAGTGGCCGAACCCCAAGATCTGGATGATGGGTCGGGGCCCGATGTCGACCCCCGGTTTGCCAGTTCCGGCACGGGCGCCCACCCCTCCAGCTTGACCACGACCCATCTGCCCTACGGGGCCCCCCCTTTCCCCTTCCCAGGACACCTGAACTCAAGCATGGGTCTTCGAGCCCTCAGCCTGTACCTGCTGGCCACCGCGGGGCTGGTCGCGGGCTACATCCCACTCCAGCAGGACGGCATAGCGTCCGCCAACCCCACCCGGGAGGCCTACCTCGCCGACCTGGCGGCCATCCGCGCCTCCACGAGCCCCCCCTCCCCACCCCGTGCCCCTTCCTCTTCCATCAACGACACCGACACGGGGCCAGTGCTGAGTTACACTATGAACCAGATCTCGCGCATCGTGGCGGTGGACATCCTGCAGGCCACCATGAGCGACACGCTGCGAGCCCTGGAAAGCATGCCCAAGGCCACCGCAGGGTGCGTCTACACCACGCTTTCTGTTTGGTTGGGAAGAGGAGGCGGGGGGGGGGACCTGTGCATGCTGCTGAGTGCCGCGGCAGACCAGTGTTGCAGGGCAGGGTTGACGCAGGGCAGCGAGGCTGTTGGATGTGGGCGCCGGCGCAGCTCGCCGTCAGACGATGTGGACCATGTCAAAGCGGCTGTCCGCAGAGTGCCACCCTCTCCACCTGGCCGCCAACTCAGGGTGACCGCTGCATCCATGGAGGACGCCGCTCCCAGCCAGTCCATCTCGGGCGAGGGTCTCAGCATGCCAGACGAGACACTGGCCCCCAGCAGCGCTGCGGCCTCCCCTCCCCAGCCCCGATCCCCGCCCCCGCCCGAGTATGTGGCGGCCTCCCCGCCGCCCCCACCCACCACCTATACGCCCCTGGGCCGGGCCACGCTGAGTCAGCTGCCCGCTGGCCTGGTGCCACGTGTGAAGACCCTGGCCGGGGTGGGCAAGGGCTGCCCCGGCACGCGCAGCGCGCGCATCTACGGCGCCAGGGGGGACGGCACGACCGACGACTCGGCCGCCCTGCTCGCCACCGCCGCTGCCCAGTCCTACGTCTACCTCCCCGTGGGCACCTACCTCGTCGCCAAGAGCATCACCCTCACCAAGCCCATCCTAGCAGGTGCATGTGATTCTTAATTTTTGTGGGGGAATAGGGGAACTGAAAAGGCCAGATCCCGACGGTGTAAGCAGAACCGTTCGCGGTGAACGGGGGAAGGGAGGAGCTGCCTGATGGCCCTGGGCAGAGGAAATAAACACGCACAAGCGCAGATGTATCCATTCTCATCCTCCTCCATAGCTCCCTCACACTCACACCTGCTCATTTAAAACCCCCATCAGGCTCTGGGACTTCCATCAAAGTGGGACCGGGCGTCACGCTGACCCTGACCGCACAAGTCTACCGGGCCCCAATCGTGGGTGATCCTTTCTTCACAGGCGCAGGTGTGTCTGGAGAGGAGGGGCAGGGGGACTCTGGCGAAGGCGCCGTGTGCGCAGCCTTTGGTTGGCCTAGCATGGGAGTCACGTTGACAGGGCACTGGCACCAAGTCTCTCGCTTTCCACCACCCTTCCCACACACACAGGCGCCGTGAAGTTTGCAGCAAAGCGGCAGATCTACCCCGACTGGTTCATCCAGGGCGGAGAGTCCGACTGGGTGGGCCTGCAGCGTGCCGGCGACTCCTGCACCACCACCTGCACCCTCCTCCTGCACAGGATCTTCTACCTCTCTCGGGTGGGCGGGGTCGCGGCCGCACGGGGCCCCGGCTGGGATGGGGTGCACTGATCGCCAGGGTGCGGGCAAAACGTCAGGCTGACCATGGCCTGGGGCGATCCCACCCGACCCTGGCCTGCGCCCAGACTGGGTGGCTGGGGTGCCACGAGGACCCCTTGCTCAGACCAGCATGAAACGCTTCGCCTCAATCCTCGGCCAACCCCCAACCCCCGCCTCCTCACCACGCAGCAATGGTATGTCAACTACCAGAATGAGGTGTTTGGCACCCGGCTGAGCATGATCATCGCCCTGAACAACTATGGCAGGGGCGTCATGTTCAGACCGGGCGAGTACACCAGGCCCTTTGTGGTGCCCTCCGTCCGCCACTTCACCGGCTTCTGCGTGAAGGTCCAGGTGGGTGGGCGGCTGTGTCGATGTGAAGGGATTGGGCAGGGGGAGTCGTACATGGGATGTAGAGGCCAGGCGGGAGAAGGGCGTACCTCTTCTGCCGCTCGGCGTTGCCGGTGCGGGTTGGCAACTCGATCCAGAAGGGCAACTCTGGTCCCAATGGTGGCACCATCATTGGATTGCCTTGATGGAGATGCTCTCCAGATGTGGTGGGCCTGGGCATCACTGGCAGCCGCCTCGCAGCCTCAGGCTCCGTGCCCCCCTCCTCATTCTGCTCGCAGGGAGGCGTGAGAGGCCTGAACCTGCAGATCTCGACGGTGTCCTACTGCCAGGAGGGCATCTCCTTTGACACCACCACCACCACCCCGAAGACGATCAGCAACGTGGTGGTCGGCCACGTCGCCGCGGCGCAGGTGAGGCTGGATGACTGTTCACAGGGGCAGCGGAGGGCCCCAGGGCATGGAGGTATGAGGTCGCTCAACCTGCGCCTGCAGGTGCTGGACCCCCCCGCCCATGCTGAAATATCCCCTCTAGAAACAGCCGCAGCATCACACCCTCCTCCTGCCCCCTCCCCCCTTGTTCATCAACAAGCGCAGTCCAACCAGCATTCGGTGACCTTCCGCGCCGCCAGCTCCAGCGACACCTTTTCCAATGTCAATGTCAACATCAACTTTGTGCTGACCAGCGGCCTGACCTACCCCTCGCTCACCGCCTCCGGCCTCGGTTTCTTTGGGGTTCCCGGCACGCTGTCCAGCACCACCGTCACCTTCCAGGCCTACGACCCTGCCCAGTTCCTGACTGTCACCCAGGCCTCCACCGTGAACAACTACGCCAGCGCTGCGGTCCAGGGTGTCCGCTTCTCCGTGGACACATGGCTGGGCGGGCTGGTCACGCCGGGGAACATGATTACCGGCGCCTACAAGTGAGTGGTCTTCAAAGGATTGATAGAGTGGAGGAAGGGATGGGAAATGCTTTGCTGAGGGGCAGGGCGTCTGGGAAGCCGTGACGATCGGCAGACACAAGGCGGATGCACCGTTCCTGAGTCTGCATCTCCCAAATACGACCCCCTCGCCCACCACCACCACCTTTCAACCCTCCAGGGGCCTGAACGCCATGCTGAACGTGGCGGGCGGGATGGCGCCCGAGGTGTTCTTCAGCATGACGGGCGACGCAGCCACGTCCATCTCCATCGGCACGGTAGGCTCCGCCGGGGTCGTGAGCAACTTTCTGACCTCCCCCACCAGCCTTTCCACCTTCAACAACGGGGAGGCCCTCATCCAGAACGTGAGGAGTGGGAGGACGGCGGGTCCAGCGCAGGAGCATGCGTGCGGCGTGCTGCAGGCTGCATCCTTGGGACACGTCCCTGCATGAACATAGCCAGTGCCCTCCATCCCTCCCTGGCCTCTCCCCATTGACAATCAACAATGCTCCCACCAAAAATTTCTTGCAGCTAGACTGGCTCCGTTTCCCCATCACGTCATCCTGGGCGCCCGGCGCCATCAGGACGGTATACTACTACTCCGAGTTTGCGGGGACGGGGATCACCGGTGCCAAGCTGTCCTGCGAGTACGGCCGCTGGTACAACCCGGGCATCGTCTGCGTCGGCTTCTCCGTCAAGAGCAACCCCAAGATGATGGTGCGTGGCCAGGCCAGGGGGGCCGGCGAGGGGACTTTGGTTTGCGCGCTGGGACTGGCCAGTGCCAGCCTGCGGTGTCGATCTCCTTCACCAGCGACTAGCTGCGGGGTCTCACCACAGGCCTCCGCATCGTCCCCAGCACCTCCTGCCTCACAAATGCCACGCCCTCACTCCTTGCAGGTGGCGGTGCAGCTGCGCAACGCCGGCGCCACCACCATCCCAGGGACCGCCGGCATCGTCTTCTTCGTCGGCGTGCAGACTGGCCCCTGACCACCCCCTCCAACAAATTTGCCTCACCACTTACATATACTGCCAGTTCTGCAGCCATCTCTGGTCCCCACCACCCTGCCACCACGAACACAACCCTATGACACACGGGAGGCCTGCCCCAGCAGCCGCCATTTCATTCTGTCACTCGCCTGTACTCAAGTTTAACATCTGTTGAACGTGAGCGGAAGCAAGCAGGCCAAGGGGATTCTGCACGGGAGGCTGGCTAGCGGGTGTTCATGCCAGCCGCGCCCCTGTGTGCAGCTTGAAGCCTTCCGGGACAAACCACTGGCTCAGGTCCACCCCTGCCTCCAGCAGGGCGCTGACCTTGGGATCCGTGAGCGCCAGCAGCTGCTCGTGCACGAAGCCGTTGGTCACCAACAGGCTGCGGTCGAACACTGCATGCAAGTCGTGGGAGTGATCAGGCTCAGTGATGGCGGGCAGGGGAGAGCTGATACCGACTGAGAGGGTGCTCAGCCTTGCTACACTCTGAGTTGTGGGAACAATCGCCTCACCCTTGAGTAATCAATCGCAGGAGCCCCTCCTCCTGTCCCTTTCCCTGTCTCCCATGGTCACCCATCCTCCACCCAGCCCCCACAAACTCCCCTCACACTCCCCACTCTAGCCACCTGACAGCGCGCCGTTGCCCATGGTGGTGGCCGTGGCGCCCGCCTCCTCGGCGATGAGCAGCCCGGCGGCCATATCCCAGGGCTTCAGGCGGAACTCCCAGTACCCGTCCACCAGCCCCGCCGCCAGGTGGCACAAGTCCACGGCGGCCGCCCCCTCCCGCCGCACGCCCTGGGTCACGTCCGTCAGCGCCCGGAACAGGTCCATGTTGGCCGCCCAGCACTCGTCGTGGTCGTACCCAAACCCCGTCACCTGGCGCGCCCCGGGGGGGGGGGTGTTACTCAAGGGTGGGATGGAAGTAATAGGCACGGAGGGGGGTCAGCGGCAAGGGAGGAGTGGAGTGATGTACTAGGGGTCCGGAGCCCCTTGCCGGTGCGTTTGTTGTTCAGTCCTGCGCTCCCTTCACGCGGCCCCGCGCCTTGGCAACCCTAGCCTGCCGCCAGCGCAGCACCAAGCTGCGGACGCTCCCCTTTCTTTGCCCCAAAGACCAAAACGCTCACCAGCAGGCTCTGCTCCAGGACCTTCACCCGGCTGACGGAGATGGGGCGGCCGTCGCAGGTGGCCCCCATGTCCCGCGCCGCCTCGTAAGTGCGCGTGATCCAGCCGCCGGGGCCGCCGGTGAACTCGATCACCACACCCGCTACGGGCACGGCGTGGCGCAACACGCCTACGGACACGGCGAAGGAGGGGTAGCCGTGCGCGAAGTTGGTGGTGCCGTCCAGTGGGTCCACACACCAGAGGTAGTCGGAGGTGACATCCCCCATGACACCCCCCTCCTCCCCCAGGATGCCATGGTCCGGGTAGGCCCGGGTGATGGCCTGCGGGGTTGGGGGTGGGGACTGTGCAAGATGCAGCACGGCGGTCTGGCCGGGGGGTAACCGATCCATCGGCCCGCCCCTGGCGCACTGCTTGGGGCCAGGGCCTGGTCCCCAAGGGGGCCCCGGAGCCGCGCACCTGGAGCACGGCCTCCTCACTCGCGCTGTCGGTGTCTGTCACCAGGTCCGTCGTCCCCTTGTGCTTGATGATGCGGGGCTTGTCAGCATTGGCGAGGACCACCTGCGGGGGCGGGTGGGGTGCAGGGGGTGTGTGTGGGTGCCGGCGAAGTGATCTTGCCACTCCCCACCACGCCGAGGCCCCTCCCCACGCACCGCGGCCCCTGCCTTGGCGGCATTCCGAGCGACCTCGAGCAGGGTTTCCCTAGGTATCGGCGCGGCGCAGCAAATGGTGCGTCGGCCTCGCGCACGGCGTGGGAGGGCGAGGCGCAACCGTGCTGCCGCCGGCACCGTCAGGGCCGGGGTGAGTCCCGCACTCGCCGCCATCCCTGCCCGGTCGTTGGTTCGTGAAGGGAAACAAAGGGTTTGCAATGCGGCCCTCGTCGTCCACAGAGAGGCACCGCGCGATCCGGTACAGGATAAGTTCTTCACCTCGCGGATGTAGCTGATGTGCCGGAATCACAAGAGAGTGGGGGAAGAGACAACGACATGGTACAGAGCAGCCACCCTGAAGGCGGCATGTAGGGGTACAAGGAATGCTGACGGGTGGCGTTGTGATGTTGACACGGGCAGGCCTCATGTGATGGGGGTTCGGCGTCGTGCTGGAGCAGCGCTGGGCGCACCGTGCGGCACGGCCTTTGCACCCTCGCCCTCGGTCCCTGTGGATGTCTGAAAGCCCCAGGGCTCTCACACCCACCCCTGCTCTACTCGCCGCCGGGGGGCAGGCCATCCCCTTCCCGCCCGCGCTGGCCTTCCCCTTCCCGCCCGCGCTGGCCTTCCCCGTCCCGCCCGCGCGCCCCGCCCCTCCAGACCCGGCGCAGCGCCACCTTCCAGGACCGCGCCCGCTTCATGTGCGGCGCGGCCACCGCCTCGGCGATCAGCACCTCCTGCGCCGCGCCCAGCGTCTCCGGCAGCGCCAGCGCGGCCAGCGCGGCGGCCGCCAGCGCCGCCGCGCCGGCGGCGAGCACGCCGAGGCGCGCGGGCGCTCGCCGTCGC